GGTTCCTTTTCCAGTTGTCATGAATGTTGCTAGTGGCTGTGTGAGTGTTTTAAGTCCAGATATAGAGAGTGATTTGATGAGTATTCTCAAAAAAGGGCATACATTAAATTAAACCATAAATTGTGTGATGGGATGCAAGCAGCAGACATTCTGATCTGTAGTTCCATTTTTGCAATAGGCAACGTGATGCATTGATGCAGAAAATAATATTCATGTGGCATTCAGCATCAGTTCATATTTGCCTTCTAGGGGAAAACATGTGTTGAGACACTTTCTAAGTAAACCAACTTGTGTTGTGAACAAGCGGGAGAGTGGAATTATATAAAGGGTTGGGGCAACAATCTCTCACTCACTCCAGTAATTCCCATTCATTCATATAAGTATTTGATCTTACATCTTTCCTATGTTAGAAGTAGGCATGGGCAATCCATGGTTCTAAATAGTTCTAACCTCTAGACCTCACAACCTCTGAGGATGCTTGCCATAGATGCAGGCGAAACGTCAGGAGAAAATGCCTCTAGAACAGGGGTCCACAAACTTTTTAAACAGAGGGCCAGGTGTCAGTCCCTCAAACTGTTGGAGGGCCGGATTATGATTTGAAAAATCATGAATGAATCCCTATGCACAATGCACATATCTTATTTGTAGTGCAAAACACTTTAAAGCAATACAATAATTAAAATGAAGAATAATTTTAACAAATATAAACTTATTAGTATTTCAATGGGAAGTGTGGGCCTGCTTTTGGTGGATGAGATAGAATTGTTGTTGCTGTGTGCTTTTAAGTCATTTCAGACTTAGGTTGACCCTGAGCGAGGGCCGGGTAAATGACCTCGGAGGGCCGTAACTGGCCCTCGGGCCTTAGTTTGAGGACCCCTGCTCTAGAACATGGCCATATAGCCCGAAAAACCTACAACAACCCAGTTCTAACGTACTTACAAAACTAGGGGGCGCTGGTGCTTTGCTTCAAAAGTGCTGCTAAAGTTCTGCTGGTGAAAATTTCAGAACTCTAACAAAACTTTCAAAATTTCATTATAAATGGCAGTTCCTAATTGGTTCTGTCATAAAAATTGCCAATAACGAAATAATAATGAAATTTTGAAAGTTTTTGTTACTGTTCTGAAATTTTCACCACCAAAACTTTAGCAACACTTTAGAAGCAAAGCACCAGCTTTAGCAACACTTTAGAAGGAAAGTGCCAGCACCCTCTAGTTTTGTAAGTACTTTAGAACCATTTAGGACCATGGATTGCCCATTCCTAGTGAGAAGATATCAGGGGAGTGTACAACAAAATTAATATAGTTGTCCACCCACAATATTAAAAATGAATAAATCTAAAACACAAACCTAGATTTTGCCACCTTATATAAGGAACATCATTTTACTATGCCATTGTATAATATGGAATTTGAGCACCCATGGATTTTGTTATCTCTAGGGGGTCTTGGAATAATAATAACAGCAACAACAACAACAACACTTTATTTATATTCAGACCTATCTCCCCACAGGGACTCAGGGCAGATCACAGTACACATACAGGCAAACATTCAATGCCATTATGGACAGAGGGGACAGACAGAACAGAAAGGAGGTATGTTATGTTGACATCCAACTTTTTGGTGCCTTGGAGGTTGTGCTGGAATCCAGCCACAGGGGGTGCTGTTGCTCCATTTGGTTTTAAAGGATTAGAGTGCTGGATTATGATTCTGGAGGCCAGGGTTCAAATCCTCATTCAGTCAAAAAAACCATGGGCAAATCACATGCTTTCAGCTCCAGAAAACCCTTAGAACTGCCATAAGCTGGAAATGACTTGAAGGCACACAACAACAACAACAACAACAACAACAACAACAACAACAACAACAACAAAAACAACGTCTTACTGTTAAGACCAGACAAACAGAACTGTCTCATACTCACAGGTTTTAACAGTATTTTTCAAAAACGTTAAACTTCTACATCAGAAGCATGTTTGGAAGACAAATTTGATCAAGTGGACACTGTAAAATGGTTGTCATCTAATAATATGTGTTTACTGAACAAACAAGGAAAAATGGATGACTGAATTAAAACAGTTATCCATTCCCCTGCTATCATGGGGACTTGAGGTATAAACAATATAGTCCTTGTGTTGTCAAAGGCTTTCATAGCCAGAATCACTGGGTTGTTGTGAGTTTTCCAGGCAGCATGGCCATGTTCAAGAAGCATTCTCTTCTGATATTTCCCCCACATTCATGGCAGGCATCAACACAGCAAACCAATATAGTCCTTGTTGCCATGCAAAGATTAGTATGGATATTTTCAGTAGCTAGTAGCCCCACCGTTATTTGGAAAGAAAGGTCAAGAATTGAGAAGCATGACTTCACACCTGAAGTTCCAACATTAAGAGTTGTGTCATAATGATGCAAGAGAGGACAGCCATACCATGAGATTGCATCTGAGAAATATGAAAATATGGGATTAAAAGGAAATTTATTTCCCCACTAACTGCTCCAAACATGAGATGTTTGAACATATCAGCAATGTTTAACAGTAATTACCAATCAGTGGATGTATACATGATGGAAAGAGAGCCAACTGTCTGCTTATGAAGATAATTTTTCCCCAGTCAAAAAAGAGCATGAACAATTAATCACAAGAGACTAAGAGATTTCAACATCTCGTAGAAGCTTGCAAAATATGTAAGGCATCAAATCAAATATAGCCTACAAGCTTTGTATGATGGCCCACCAAGGGCATACTAATCTTGAGACTGAAGGATTAGGAATGTTATATAGCTGCTAGGACTGGGATTTGGCATGATGGCCCATATACTATGCCAGTGTGAAATTACTATTTACTCACAAAATCCCACATTCCTTTTGAATTGGAAATTAAAATTTCGATCCTGTAGCAAGAATCCTGAACCAGTTGGATAGTAGGTAAGAAACAGGCAGATAATCAGACTCTATACGTTTCGCCTTCTTTTTCTTTAGAACTATGCTATAGCCTAAATACTCTAAATCCTATCTGATTTTGGAAGCTACATAAAGTCAGTCTTGATTAGGACTTGGATAAGAAATTGCCATTGAATCCCAGATGCCAAAGGTTCTATTTCAGAAGAAGGAACTGGCAAAACACATCAAAGGCCCCTTCTACACTACCACACAAAATCCAGATTATCTGCTTTGAACTGGATTATATGGCAGCGCAGACTCATATAATCTGGTTCAAAGCAGATAATGTAGATTCTCTGATTTGATAACCTGGATTATATGGCAATTTAGTAAAAGTAAAGGTTTTCCCCTGACATTAAGTCCAGTCATGTCCAAATCTGGGGATTGGTGCTCATCTCCATTTCTAAGCTGAAGAGTCGGCATTATCCGTAGACACCTTCAGGGCTTCAGTCCCCCCCCCCGAAATTCTGATGGTGGTCTGCGAGAAGGCCTTACTGGTACATTATTTAAACTGTTATGTTTATTCATATCATGATCTGATCACCATGCTCAATATATCCCATATGCATGGGGGTATTGGGGTAACGATACAAAAGGTTTGCTGTGGTAGACCCTCTTTCACTCAGACTCAGCCCCCCCCCCCGAACCCCCCCCGAATCAAAATCCTGGCTACGGGCCTGTTCAAGATCATGTGGCTGGCATGACTGCATGGTGTGCCACTAACAGCGGGAGCTCACGCCACTCCCTAGTACTCCTTCCCCAAGAAAATCCAGTTGATATTCATGGGTTGCCATAAGTCAACAGACAACATCATTGCTATGTTTCAAAGACACAGCCAAACCATGTTAGTCTGGATCAATATGCAAAGGTATCTTGTAGCATCTTGCAGCAACGGAGAGAAAGAAATTGCTATTAGATCTCTTTGTATATAGATTGCTATGCTAATGCCTTACATCATTTTTTATTTGTCTGAAATCACTTCCTCCTTCTCCTAGAATCATGGATTCATAGAGTTGGAAGATACCTCATGGGCCATCCAGTCCAACCCCTGCCAAGAAGCAAGAAAATCACATTCAAAGCACCCCCAATTGATGGCCATTCAGCCTCTGCTTAAAAGCCTCCAAAGACGGAGCCTCCACACACTCCAGGGCAGAGAGTTCCACTGCTGAACAGTTCTCACAGTTAGGATGTTTTTCTTCATGTTCCGGTGGAGTCTCCTTTCCTGTAGTTGAAGCCTTGTTCTGCATCCTAGTCTCCAGGGCAGCAGAAAATAAGCTTGTTCCCTGCTCCCCATGACTTCCCCTTACATATCATGGCCATCATGTCTCCTCTCAGCCTTCTCTTCTTTGGGCTAAACATGCCCAGCTCTTTCAGCCACTCCTCATAGGCCTTGTTCTCTAGACCCTTGATGATTTTAGTCTCCCTCCTCTAAAGACATTCCAAATTGTCAACATCTCCCTTCAATTGCAGTGCCCAGAATTGGACACAGTGTGATTCCAGTTGTGGTCTGACCAAGGCAGAATAGAGGGAGAGAATGACTTCCCTGGATCTAGACACTATACACTTTATGCAGGCTAACATTCCATTGGCTTTTTAGCTGCAACATCACATTGTTGGCTCATGTTTAACTTTTCCATGAGGACTCCCAAGATTTTTTTTTCATGTGTACTGCTGTTGAGCCAGGTGTCCCCCATTCTGCATCTCTGCATTTCATTTTTTTCCTGCATAAGTGGAGTATCTTGCATTTCTCCCTGTTGAAATTCATTTTGTTAGTTAAAGGGAGCCAATAATCACATGGAGCCTCTATAACGGGCATCTCAGCAGACACAAAAGCTATGTTCAGGGAATTCTGTAAACAAGAATGAGGTTTTTATCTCTTGTCCTATGTATGATGGATTTCCTCAGGCAATACATTCAAACCTTTTGAAAGAAAATCTCATTATGACTATCAAAAGTAGTCCTGCTTTATAGCCATAATCCAGCCCATTGTACTCTGCTGCTATAAACAGCAAACATTATTACATATTGATTTAATGAAAATGAGTTAACAACTTGACTCACATGTGCTAAGCGATCAAATCTGGCAAAGAGTTCATTTAGCATTCGGACCAACTCCTGGGCTGATAGTGTTGTAGAGAGGTTTGTGAATCCTTTTACATCTGCAAAAAGAATGCTGAAGAGAGAATGGAAAAAGGAAAATGAGCATTGATATAGGTGATCGTCATCAGAAAGTAATTGAAACAATAACATCAAGGCAAGACCATTTTGGGTAGAGCAGACATAAATAAAACCTGCAATTTCCTCATAACCAAAATAATGTTTCATAACTAAACCAACTGCCTACCACTCATCTAATCTGTCTGTTCATTTTAGTGTGTATGAAATTGTTAACAGAGGAAGAATATATTAAATAAGTAGACACAGAGAACTGGAAAGCCCTGGCCCTTGAGCAGTCTAACTGGAGGTCAGCTGTGACCAGCAGTGCTGCAGAATTCAAAGAGGCACAAATGAAGGACGAAAGGAAGAAACCTGCCAAGAGGGTGCATCAAGCCAATCCTGACAAGGACCACCTTCCACCTGGAAACCAATGTCCTCACTGTGGGAGAACATGCGGATCAAGAATAGGGCTCCACAGTCACCTACGGACCCATCACCAAGACACTACACTTGGAGGACCATCATCTTTGGGCTACAAGGAAAGGACTGCCTTCCACCTGGGAGAACATGCGCATCAAGAATAGGGCTCCATAGTCACCTACAGACCCATCGCTAAGACACTACACTTGGAGGACCATCATCCTTGGGCTACAAGGGATTGCCTAAGTGAGTAAATATTAAATAAGAATAGCTATTTTTAAGTTCAGAAGCTATTGTCTTCTTGTTGTCACAAGCTCTCTTAAGACAGGCATCCATAAAATATGATTTATGGATGTGTTTTTGCAGGGAAAATAAAAGCTTGGAGTATACAGATATGTTTGGACATCACTATAGTCCTTGAGTGAATCTGAAAATAAAGTAAAGGATAATTTTGAGGTCACTGGGGAAGATGGTGGAAGATTAACATTGACCTTGTCATCCTTGTATTCATTAGCTTCTGCTTTAATCCACTATCAGTTGATCTCCAGGAACTGGAGCACAAGAACCTTTACTTCCACTCTGGATTTTAAATGCAGGTCACTTCATGACATTTTACTGCCTGAAACAAAGGACATGGTGGCACTTTCCTCATGTTATCTGGAGAAACAAACTGGATCAGCAACTAATTTTATTTGAATGGCAGATTGCCTGGGACCAACCATTCTGTCCTCCTTGAGAGAGGATCAGTCAAGCGGTTATTGTGTGTTGTCATATCCACACACCATCAGCATCTGTTGATGAAGGATACATCTACACTGCACAATGAAAGCAGTTTGACATCACTTTAACACCCATGGCCCAATGTTATGGAATCTTGGGATTTGTAGTTTAGTGATGCACCTGTGCTCTTTGGCAGAGAAAGCTAAACACCTCATAAAACGACAACTCCTGTGATCTCATAGCATTGAACCATGGCAACTATATTTATCGTGTCAGTATCAACCAGACAATTGTATCACATTTTTAACAATTTTTTAACAAACAGACAAAACAGAGTTTGCAAGCTTGGTAGCTGATTAAATGTCCTTTGACCAGTAGCTGGCCACTTGGAGTGCCTCTGGTGTTGCCGCAAGGAGGTCCTCCATTGTGCATGTGGCAAGGCTCAGGTTGCATTGCAGCAGGTGGTGTATGGTTTGCTCTTCTCCACACTCGCATGTTGTGGATTCCACTTTGTAGCCCCATTTCTTGAGTTTGGCTCTGCATCTCATGGTGCCAGAGCACAGTTTGTTCACTGAAGTGATGTCAAACTACACTAGTTCTACAGCAGACATGGGCAAACTTAGGTCCTCCAAGTGTTTTGGACTTGAGCTCTCAGATATTCCAGCCAGATTACCAGCTGTTAGGAATGGTGGGAGTTGAAATCCAAAACACTTGTAGGGACTAGGTTTGCCCGTGCCTGTTCTACAGTATAACTGCACCTTTTCATTGTATATTGGTAGGTACACCCCTAAGTAAAAGGCATTCTCACTCCATTTACACCCTTCCAATACCTCCCCTTAATGCCACTAGACAGAGGGCAACCTGCCTAAGCAAAGACCACAAGTCCATCTGGATCCTTTTTCATCATTAACCTTTCCGACTTCATTAAAACTAAATTTTTCTCTTCTCCCCACCTTTCAAGTACATTTCTTACTTGATTTAGACCTCAGTGGGAAATGGAAATCTTCTCAAGCCTGGACTAGTTGTTTGTCATGTATATAATTCAGGCCACTTACTGTATTGTATATGTGTGTGTTGGTATGCAATTCTGTATTGTATATGTGTGTATTGGTATGCAATTCTACCTTAACTGTTCAGTTGGTATGCAATTCTACCTTAATTGCAGCCCCTGCGGACCATGTTATCAAAGCTGGGCTTGTTCGGGACTCAGACTCAATTTTTAAAACAGTTTTGAAACAGTCTGTTTTCAGACTTCAGCAGAAACTGTATGCTTTTAAGAAGTCTACTTATTTTTGTCTCTTGAGAACATGACTTAAACCCTGATGTTTTAAGGGAGAGTAGATGTTTTGGGGCAACAAAAACACTTCTGAAACTCTGCTGTGTGTGTGTTTGTATGAATGCTCGTGAATGCCACTTTCCCAAAAGGTTATGACTGTAACTGGTCATGCTTTAACCAAGAGGTTATGGCATCATTTTCAAAAGGTTATGACTTCTATCTAACAAGGTCATGCCTTTCCAAAGATCACAAAATATCCAAAAGGTTCTGGAGATTTCCATTTTCCAAAAGTGAGGATGTAACCAAGCACCTTTCATTTGGACTTTTGAAGTCTGTAATCATGTGTTTCTCCTTTTGTGAAGTCTACAGCCAAGCTCTCTTACTTTGGATCAAACTTCTCACCTTGTTTAGATTTTTAAATATTGCAATCAAGAGCTTGGCATTTGCCATTGTAGGGCAACACATATTCAGTTTGTAACTCACCACAATTTGACAGGCTTCCTGGTTTCACAGACAGCAAAGAGAAAGAGAAAATTGCCCTGGATACAGAGGTACTACACTCCCAGTAAGATGCTTTAGATCAGTGGTTCCCAAACTTATTTGGCCTACTCCAGGAAATCATTTTTTCTAAATCTTCTCTTCTTTCTTTTATGCTTTTACCACCCCCTTACAGTTATTCATTGCCCCCAAATGCACCTGTGGCCATTACCAAACCACCCCCCCAAATCGCTGCAGCACCCATTAGGAGGCGGTAACACCCACTTTGGGAATCACTGCTTTAGAAGTTTGGTAGGGTGCATTTATCTTTGTGCCTCAAAAATTGTGTAGGCTTTGTGAATGGATACTTCACAGTCATTGCTAACAACAAGATTTGAGCTGGCACAGTATCACAGAGCTTCCAACCCTGGTTGCCAACTCTGGGAACTACCTAGATTCTAAGAGGCACCATCATATTTAAAAGGATTGTTTCTTCCCTGCATGCTGTTTTTAATTTTTTGTTTCACTTTGTTTCCCAGACAGCCTTTGTTGCATGGCCATTAGCCAGGAAAGATCAGTTTCTGACTTCTTGAATAGCGCTATCCAGGGGGCTTGGAACTGCCTACATAATTTGGCAGAGAGGACCTGCGCCGGAAAGATTACAGGCTCAGGCTAATCATGTTTACATGGAAGCAAGTGCCATTAATTCCAGTGGGGTTTACATCAAAGTAAGCATGCCTTGGATGACACAGGGTGGATTGTGGTAAGAAACTGGAGCATCATTTTTGGGTCCCACCTCGCTATCATGGACAAACCTCACTCATTCGCAAGGAAGCAAAAATCAAAGTCAAAATGTCTGTGGAGATCAAGCTAGTGAACAGGGGTAGGCACAGAATTACATGGAATTAAATTAAAGGAAAGAGGGTGAAAGAAAAAGGGGGAAAAAAAGAATCTAAAAGTGCTCCAACATTCAAAAACAGTGATTAATGAACTGATCTAAAGATGGCACACATAGCAGCCCCCATCTGACATTCAGCCAGGAAGAAAAGATCATTAACGGGGGAAATCAAGGCAAGCAGACACATCTTCCCTCTCACCTGACATTTTCATAGCGGTGAATATAGATCTTGTGAAACTGATGCTGCAAATGTTCATCCTCCACATTGGTCATGTCGTTAATCATTTCAAGCACTACAAATCGGGGTAATACAGATAAAACCAGCCTCTCCTGAAACAAGAATGTAGAGATAGGGGAGGTGGTGGTCCCCATAACAGAGGTTATTGTTGCATTCATTTACTATTTGAATATTTATAGCCCAAACTATATTTTGCTATCTCATCAATATAAAGTTAATTTAACAGTTGAAAACCATTCACAATGTTAAACTATTTGCAATGTCAATGCGTATATACTACCAGAATAGCAAGGCATTGAAGAGATTAAAACAGTGGGTTGTTGTTCAAGTTTTTCAGGCTGTGTGGCCATATTTCAGAAGCATTCTCTCCTGACATTTCACCTGCATCTATGGCAGGCATCCTCAGAGGTTGTGAAGTCCCCACAACCTCTGAGGATGCCTGCCATAGATGCAGGTGAAACGTCAGGAGAGAATGCTTCTGGAACATGGCCATACAGCCTGGAAAGCTTACAACAACCCAGTGATTCCAGCAATGAAAGCCTTCAACAATACAAGGTTAAAGCACGTTTAAATAATTAAAACAATTTAAAACCATGAGCATTTTGGAAATAAACCAATCAGGCCTCAGAGATTTTAATTAAAACCACTGTTGACCATATTTCTATTTCATGCTGGAATGATTTAAGTTCTCCAAAGGTCATAATCCCACAGTCAAAATGCATAAAAAGGAAGTGGGGAGGGAGGAAAATGCCAGCACCTTTTATTTTCACATAGGTTTTTCTTCCAACTCTACTGCATCTGGTGAAAATTGTCTATATCAATGAAAGCTAAAGCAAAAACATAACAAGTTAGTCTCAGAGATTTCCTCCTTCCTCCTCGTTTTTTATGTTTACAGAGGCTAGCATGGTGACTTCTTTGAAAACAATCAAGAAGGTCCTCTCACATTTTCCTCATAACATTTGTCCTCATCAGTGGGTCAAAGAGGAAGCCAAATGCCAGCAGATGATGAATTGCAGATGATTGTTGTTGTTGATAAATGGCATCAAATCAACTCCAATTTATGGTAACACAATGAATGAGAGGCCTCCAAGTCACCCTATGTTCAGATCCTGCAGATCAAGGACCATGGGTTCTTTGATCTGGAACAAGATTTTCTTCTTTTCCTACTGCCTTCCACCTCACCAAGCATGATTGTCTTTTCTAGTGGGTCATCTCTTCTTTATGATATGTCCAAATGTGACAGTCTCAGTTTAAACATCATGGCTTCAAGGGAGAGTTCAGGATTTTTTTACAATATTAATTTTATTAAGATATATTATAAAATATATAGTAAAGTGAGGTGGGGGGGACATCACAACAAAAGAAAAAAAGGGGGGGGGAAATAAAGGGGGGGATATAGGGGTAGGTATGGGAGGAAAGTTGACTTCCAGTCTTCCCCACACCTGTTATCAGAGTCCTTTTCTTCTACTACCTTTATTTCTTTCTATTCCCTCTCCAGCTTTCCCCTCCKAGTTTAGTTTCAGACCTTTGTCCCTGCCATCTAATTTATTTTTTCTTATTTCATATATTGTAATAGTGGTGACCAATCTGCTGCCCCCCCCCCCCCCCGGAGGTTCTGGCTTAGTAATTGAGTTAATTTGTCCACTTTCATTATATCTATTATTTTTAGAATCAGTTGATTTGCTGTTGGTAATTTTTTCGTTCTCCATTTTTGGCATATATTATTCTGGCTGCTGTTGTGAAATATGTGAATAAGTCCTCTTTTTCGTTATTTATTTCAAAATCTGTAACTCCTAGTAGGTAGTATTCAGGTCTAGGCAGGAATCCAATGTCCAGTATTTTTTTTGAATTTTCTATTGTATTTCTCTCTAACATCTTTTTGCAGACTTACAGATCTACCACATATGGAAAAAGTTTGTTCTTTGCATTTCCAACATTTATCATTTAAGTTTGAATAAAATCTTGATAGTTTTTGTGGTGTCAAATACCACTGATACATCATCTTATACCAATTTTCTTTATTTATTTATTTTGTATCAAAAGCATTGCATAAATTAGTATAAAACGGATAAAAATAGAAGGCGTGTAGGCGGCTAAATATCTTTTGACCATAAACGGGCAACAGCAACTGTATTGTCTGTAATCTCCAACAATTCTTCCTCCATACATAAGGCAGGGCATCGTGGACAAGCATACAAATGCGGAGTTGTCCATTCTGCTCCACAGTCACACAAGGTGTGGGATACTTTTAGGTAGTGCCATTTTGCCAGTTTGTCTTTTGATCTCCCAACACAACATCTGAGTCTGTTCAGGGACTTCCAAGTTGCCCATTCTTGGTTTGCCCCTGAAGGAAGACCCTCGCGGGGAGCCATCCAATTGGGATTTCCTGGTTTAGCTGCCCAGAGGGATACCCTTGCTGTTGCTGGGAGGACGCCAAGAGGAGTGGTAGTTCCCATAAAGCTTTTTCTTGATTTGAGTCTGCTGGGAGGAGGCTGGTAGCCATGTAGTGGGTGGCTCTCATAGTGTTCAACCTTATTTCTCTCACATTTAGCAGCAACTTCCCATTGCATATTGGGTGGCGGGGGGGGGGGATGCCAGCTAGCTTGTAGAGTTTATCAACAGGTGTAGGTTTAAGACATCATGTGATTATTCTGCATGTTTCATTCAATGCTACGTTCACCTGTTTTGTGTGGGCATACTTATGCCAAACATGACTGGCATACTCGGCACTTGAGTGAGACAAGGCCAGGGCTGATGTTCTTATTAATTTTGGGTCTGCACCCCATGTGCTCCCAGTAAGTTTTTGCAGGATATTATTGTGTGCAGCTACTTTGTGCTTGGTGTTCAAGCAGTGTTTCCTATATGCTAGTGTTCGATCTAAGGTGACACCGAGATATTTAGGATAGAAACAATGTTCAAGCTCTTGACCTTTCCAGGTGACTTTCAATTTCCTGTTAGCTTCACGTTTGCATGGGTGGAATGCACACACTTGTGTCTTGGCAGGGTTAGGCTTCAGGTGGTTATCTTTGCGGTAGCTGGAGAGATCTTTCAAGGCATTAGTATTCCTTAAGATCATATAAATATGTATATTTTATTTTATTTTTGTTACAGATTTTCCCCAATCTTCTAGTCTTATTTTTCAGGGTTGATTTAATTTGGACTCATTTATCTGTCTTTTTAGCAATCCATGGTATCCACAGAACTCTCTTCCAGTACTACATTTCAAATGATTTTCTTCCTGTCAGCTTTCTTCATTGTCATAGATAGAATGGGACATGCATTTTAGAGCAGAGATGAGCATACATAAGGACTGAATCTCATTTCTCTCTCTGGTGCTCTACGCTTCTGATCTCCGACAAACTGGTACTGGGACTATACATGTTTTAGGAATTGGAGACTAAAACAAGATATCAGAGGTTTGGTTACATTATATATTGCACCTCCTGGAGGATTCCATAGTCCAGCAGTTTTCAACTTGTGGGTCCCCAGGTGTTTTGACCTACAACTCCCAGAAATCCCAGCCAGTTTACCAGCTGTTAAAATTTCTGGGAGTTGAAGGCCAAAACAACTGAGGACGCAAAGTTTGAGAACCTCTGCCATAGGCAAAATTCTCAATTTTCCTCTCCCCTCACCTTTTGGGTAGGCTTCTCCCCCCACCTTTTGGGTAGGACATGAATGGCCTGCAGACCAACTATGTCTTTTGTTGCTTTACAAAAAAACGACAGCAACAAAAAAGAGAAAATGATTTTTAAAGATACCAAATTGAGCCTACTCCTCTCATGCAAAGAACTGACTTCAAAGGACTAAAAGGACAAAAGCATCTCTATTAAACATTCCTAAAATAACTGCTTAAATGCACTATAAAGAAATATATAAAGCTTGACATTCATAACCTCTGAAATTCATAATCCCCATCAAATATTTAGAGTGAAAGTTGTTTTCCCCTCATGCCAATAGGTGACTCCTGAGATCAAGCATTAGAAATATGAAACACTTGTAATCCAATATAGCATTTTTGCACTAATTATGAATATTTATAGCATTCGCCAAATAACAAGCAAATGTTTTTTTACGTCACTTACAAAAACTGTTCTGATCCCAAGTGATTAACGCTTTCTTACTTGTATTATACAAGAATATATTTGTGTAGTACATTTATATATTATCAATAGCATAATGCATAACAATACAATATAATTATATGTATTCCCACCCTTCCAAGTTTCTAAGTTATCAGAACTTTCCATAAATAAATAGCACAAAATACTTGGCAGAACATTGTTAATCTGTGACGTAGAAAGAACATGTGTTTCTTATTTGGTTACAATAAACAACAATCAAACATTATTACAGAGCATCGTCAGAGCAAAGTTGAAAGAGACCACATGGGCCATGCAGTCCAACCTCCTGCTATGCAATTTGAATGTATTGCTCTGTGTCTTAAGAGCAGCAGAAAACAAACTAGCTCCCTTCTGGATATTTCATTATTTCTAGGAAATATCTAAAATCATCACTTTAGATTAGATCTAACATAACAAAGTCATCCTCAGTTAGGTAAGAACATCACTAGAGAAAGGTATTTGTGGTTGTATGGTGGGGATTTTGGGATGCTTCTTTTTAGAGAAAGACAATTAAAACCATGGATTAGATAAGTGGTCCTGATTTAACAGTTCCCATTGAATGCCTGTTCCAATCTTCTAGCTTTTTAAAGTAAGACTCTGGACCTATCTACATGAACAAATATCCCTGGGTTCATTTTGAATCCAGTGCTCGTTGTCTTCATGATGTGCATTGACTTCCAATGAGCATTCGAGTTTTCTGCCCTGAACCCAACATCGTTCTGCTTTTAGCAAAGTTGTGGGATACTCCAGAGTCTGCAGGAAATCTGGAGTACCCCAAGGAGTTTATAGGAAATACCCCAAGGTTTCATAGCTATCTGGACATCTGGATGGGGTGTGTTTCAGCTTGATCCACTGCCTAGATCAGTGGTTCTCAACCTGTGGGCCCTCAGGTGCTTTGGCCTTCAACTCCCAGAAAGCCAAACAGCTGGTAAACTGGCTGAGATTTCTGGGAATTGTAGGCCAAAACACGT